TTATTATATTTATATATGTAAGTGAGTATCGAACACGATTGCTGAAATGCATTATCAAATCAATTCATCAACATCAATCAATCAATCAATCAATCATATGTCATATACGATAATCAATCATTATGATGGCATTATATAATCAATACGTTAGCAAGGTCACCAGATACAATCACCACAAAGTAACTCGTGACCTTACATGTACCTGATATAGATTATAATTTTATATATATATATATTAATATATAATTAGATATAAATATATATTAATATAATAGTAATGATTGTCACAGTCGTATCTGCGAGATATTGATAATACGCTAAGTTCAGCTGTGAATTATGAGAAGGTATCACTTCAGATGCGCCGTAAAACGATGCAAATGTTTTCGCAATACAGCTGTCGCGAAATAGCTTCAGGCACTGTCGCAAAACAGCCGTAAATTTAGTCGTTAAAATCGCGAATGGATAGTTCAAGATAAGAGGCCATTAGATGCGAAAGTCTGACAGATATTGCGTGTAAGCTTTCTGGGCATGGTGCATGACCTACAGGAGTCTGACTGTTTGCCGCAAACATTGACATATTCGTTGTCGCAAGAAAACCCAGACGCTTCTACGCAAACTCCGATTAGTCTATCTGCGTAAACGGCTGGTTATTTGCTGTCGAGAACTATGCCTGCTGAAGTTACTGCAAAAACCATTGCATTCCTTGCTGCAAAACCACCGAATTTGTTGCCGTGAAAAACAGTCCTTGGATTTGTCGCGCAACGGCCTATTAGTCTATTCGAAAACAAGTAGCATACCACCTGTCGCCGTAAAACGGTCGACGCACATATCTGGGGTCGCAAAACTGGGTCGCATTTACACTTGGTCGCAGTTGTCAGCATCGCGATGTCGCAAAAACGCGCGCGAGACATACCCCGTGCGCAATGTTTGCGCAGATCAGCTGCACGTTTCTCTCTTCATTTGCGCGGCGATGTCGGCGCTGGGAAGACAGAGTCAGCTAAGCTCGTCATGCAGTACCTAGCAGCTGTCAACAAGTCGCCGAGTAACCTTGTCACCGAGCAGATACTGGAGGCAAGCCCACTGCTGGAGAGCTTCGGAAACGCGAAGACAGTGCGCAACGACAACTCAAGTCGCTTCGGAAAATACGTCGATGTCTACTTCAAGAAGTACGTGGTGGAAGTTTGTATGCGTGCTACACATTCACACACACACACACACACACACACACACACACACACACACACACACACACACACACACACACACACACACACACACACACACACATCCTGATCGTCTGCTTCAATAATATGTGCGAACTCTGGGCGGTGATGCATGCGGGCGCGGGTGCGCATGTTTGCGTGTAGGCCTACCTCGCGGGCTACGACAAGCAGTTCATGCTATTAGCGTGTGTTCCGTTAGTTCCTGTTACGAACAGCAGTTTCTAGAACCATCGTCAGGAGCCACATCGCAGTTAGCCACCCAGTGACGCAACAAGGTTTAGGACGTATGCAAGCACTGCACATAGTGAACATGTGTTTATCTATATAGACATTGCACTACACACGCCGCTCCGCGAAATTTCCCTCGAAGCGTAAACATCTGAATCCGATTGGCTCTCAGTCGGTCAGGTGACCGTGCGCCATCGACATCTTGCCGCGCGCTTGCTCACAGCCGATTGGTTTCGCGATCGGTCACGTGACTTCACTTAAAATTCCGAACGTTTAATGGAATTGACTCGGCTGAGAAATGCCACGTTACGTTTGACACGCGAATGTAGTCGCGCTCGGTGTGGTAGGGTGGCATGAAAACTGTTCGAGTACACGTAGTCGCTTCGCTTGCGTCCGTATAGCTATGAATGACGTTCCATACATGTCTCCGGCCCCCACCCCTACTCCCCTGCGCTGGAATTCCAGTGAAATAATGACTTGTCACTTAACCTTTTATGTAGACATACTGTTGCGTCGAATCGTTCTACGATCGCAAATATGCTAGCGACGTTTACTTGTTTTGACTATGGTTTACTAGCGCCTTCTCGTCGGTTATTAGCAATTATACTATGCATATAAAATTTATTCCACTTGCTAAATATAGTTTTATTTGACGTATGTTTTGAATAACAGGGTGCGCGCACATAGGTGCACGACCAGTGCAAGTGCACGACCAGTGCAAGTGCACTCCACAGCAGCGTGCACGCGTGCGTGTGCGCGCCCGTGTACATACACCGCGCAGCAGGCTGCACGCTTATGTGCGTGCGGCGTGTATATCGACCAACAACGTACACGCGGGCGTGTACACCGACCAGCGTTGTACGCGCGTGCGTGTACAACGACTAGCGGCGTACGCGCGTGCGTGTACACCGACAAGCGGCGTACGCGCGTGCGTGTACACCGACCAATAGAAAACACGTGCACGTGTACACCGACCAATAGAGTACACGCGTGCGTGTACACCGACCAGCGTTGTACGCGCGTGCGTGTACACCGACCAGCGTTGTACGCGCGTGCCTGTCCAACCACCGGCGGCGTACGCGCGTGCGTGTACACCGACCAGCGGCATACACGCTTGCGTGTACGCGCGTGCGTGTACATCGACCAGTGTCGTACGCGTGTGCGTGTACACCGACCAGCGGCGTACGCGCGTGCGTGTACACCGACCAGCGGGGTGAAAGCGTGTCGGTTACCGCACGCTTGCCGTGCCTAGAGCCGCAGCAAAGCCGGACGGAGCGTTCCCAAAATAAACGCTCTTGGGAAGGATGATATGCGTAGTGAGCTTGCTGCTGTGCTAGCTATGGTAACTACACGGGTGTAAACTACACGGCAAACTCGTGAAACGCCAAGATCACGACAGACGTGGAGGACGGAGAGAGAGAGAGAAAGAAAGAGAGAGAGGGAGTGAGTGAGTGAGTGCGAAAGAGAGAGAGAGAGCGCGCGCGCGCGAGAGAGAGAGTGTGTGAGGAGAGAGAGTATGTGAGAGAGGGCGCGCGCACGCGAGAGAGAGAAAGAGAGCGAGAGAGAGAGAGAGAGAGAGAGCGAGAGAGAGACAGAAGAGAACAGACGAGAAGAATAGCCCACAAAAGAAAGAGCGAGAGTGTGCGTTCACGCTCTATTCTCAGTCTACACGCGGAGAAAGAGTACAGCGGTCATCATTCAACGCAATTCGGGGCAGCAGCAGCCGCAGCAGCGATGTAAAATTGGGTTACGCTCCAGAAAGACTGCCTAGCGTTTACTCGTTGACCTATAAGCCTTCATAGCATCGTCTGCCGTCTGCCGCGCATCTCCGCCCTGTTGTCTGTGTCTATATGTAGGCCAACGCAACTATTCGCTTTCGCTAACCGCGCTGACCGATAGAGAGTCTCCTGCCGATAGTGTCGTTGGATGGCAATCCGCTACACCCGTGGGGGCGGCCAGCGACGCGTGGAAGACGCAAACTCGCTTTCCACTGCGCCGCTTATTACTGTTCACCTGTATGCTTGCGCGCGCGCGTTCTCGCTCTCTGCGGCCACTCTCTCTATCTCAATATCACACACACATACATACACATACACAACATACACACACACACACACACACACACACACACACACACACACACACACACACACACACACACACACTACACACACACACACACACACATCACACACACACACACACACACACACACACACACACACACACACACACACACACACACACACACACTACTCTACACACTACTACTCTCTCTC